GCCTGATCCGCTCGGGCCCGTCCTTGTCAGGCCTGATCTGCTCGGGTCTGATCTGCTCGGGCGGGACTTGATCAATGTTGTGCTTGGGTCTGATCTGCTCGGGCCTGTCCTTGTCAGGATCTGATCTGCTCGGGTCTGATCTGCTCGGGCGGGACTTGATCAATGTTGTTCTGCTCGGTCCTGATCTGCTCGGGCCCGTCTTTGTCGGATCTGATCCGCTCGGGTCTGTCCTTGTCAGGCCTGATCTGCTCGGGTCTGATCTGCTCGGGCCCGTCCTTGTCGGATCTGATCCGCTTGGGTCTGTCCTTGTCAGGCCTGATCTGTTGGGGTCCTATCTGCTCGGGCGGGACTTAATCAATGTTGTTCTGCTCGGTCCTGATCTGCTCGGGCCCGTCTTTGTCGGATCTGATCCGCTCGGGTCTGTCCTTGTCAGGCCTGATCCGCTCGGGCCCGTCCTTGTCAGGCCTGATCTGCTCGGGTCTGATCTGCTCGGGCGGGACTTGATCAATGTTGTTCTGCTTGGGTCTGATCTGCTCGGGCCCGTCCTTGTCGGATCTGATCTGCTCGGGTCTGATCTGCTCGGGCGGGACTTGATCAATGTTGTTCTGCTCGGGTCTGATCTGCTCGGGCCCGTCTTTGTCGGATCTGATCCGCTCGGGTCTGTCCTTATCAGGCCTGATCTGCTCGGGTCTGATCTGCTCGGGCCCGTCCTTGTCGGATCTGATCCGCTCGGGTCTGTCCTTGTCAGGCCTGATCTGCTCGGGTCTGATCTGCTCGGGCGGGACTTGATCAATGTTGTTCTGCTCGGGTCTGATCTGCTCGGGCCCGTCTTTGTCGGATCTGATCCGCTCGGGTCTGTCCTTATCAGGCCTGATCTGCTCGGGTCTGATCTGCTCGGGCGGGACTTGATCAATGTTGTTCTGCTCGGGTCTGATCTGCTCGGGCCCGTCCTTGTCGGATCTGATCCGCTCGGGTCTGTCCTTATCAGGCCTGATCTGCTCGGGTCTGATCTGCTCGGGCGGGACTTGATCAATGTTGTTCTGCTCGGGTCTGATCTGCTCGGGCCCGTCTTTGTCGGATCTGATCCGCTCGGGTCTGTCCTTGTCAGGCCTGATCTGCTCGGGTCTGATCTGCTCGGGTCTGATCCGCTCGGGCAGGACTTGATCACTGTTGTTCTGCTCGGGTCTGAACTATTAGAGGCACAATCTGAGACGGTATACTTTACCACGTTGTGTGTCCTCTGGTACTTGATGTTGTCCCACCTTGTTGTGTAAAATCTTGCTGTACCATCTTGTTGTGGCATCTGTTGGTCCCAACAGATTGCTGATATCGCTTCCACCTGTCTTCAGTGTGATAATCCATTCTCTGTCTCCACTGTGTGTGTGTTTCCACCTGCTATAAATGGGAGCGATCTCCCTGGATCGGCACCATTTTCCTTCTTGACCTCGGTCGTTCCACTTCCCTCCTTCTGTCTTGTTCTGTCCTGTTCCT